CCCCGGCACTGCGCATGCGTTGCCGCACCGCCACGCCCAAACTTAAAAACTGGAGGCGGATCGCGACGCGATGTTGCTAGTGCACCTGTCAGTGGTGGTCTTTGTCACCGCATTTCTACACGTCATTCCGTCTCATCTGTTCCACTCATGGGCAACTGTGACTAAAGGAACTCCCTGGAGCCATTTTAAAAGACACTTGAAAAACAATCCCCTTGGAAACCTGGTGTACTCTTCAGTCGTCGGTTCACTGGCTGCTTACTCAGTACTTGCACACTGGAACCATATGGAAGTTCTCCACGATTCTTGGATTCCCTATATTTCTGCTGAAATATCTGTGTGCTTTTGGCTGATTGATCTATCCACAACTTTGGTGAACTCTCCTCGGTCTATGCTGAAGGACAAAGCCAACATTGCTCATCACGTTACTGGAGTACTCTGCCTAGTTGTACCTCTATGTTGGGGTGGCATTACTATGGAACTGACAGTTATTCGATTGCTCTCGCAGCTGTCTGTACTAGTACTAATACTGCGACTTGTCTTGCTTGACCTAGGCATGAGTGACACCCTTCTCTATCTTGCTACATTCTCATCAATGATTGTGGTCTTCTTTCTGTCACGCATCGCCACAATACCGTGGTACTGGAAGAGGGCTGTGGTTTTCATCATGGAAACTCCTGATATGACACCAGTTTTACTTGTTCTCTTGTCACTCGTTATTGACGTACTGAACTTTTACTGGTTTGTACTCATGTTGAAGACCTACCGGAAGTACTATCCAGACAGATACAATCTTTTTAGATTTTTTATGAACTACTCTGAAGTTATATTTTGAAAGTATTTTACACGTCGTGCTTTTGTTAGTGGTGTGGAAAAATTATTTCAAACTCACAACCGGCTGAAGATTTTATAAAACTGTGATCTAATAATTATAAAAGACTGTTACTGTGTACATGTGGGCATGAAGGGACTCCTAATTGCCATTGCAGTTATAATGCCACTGTAGGGCCTATACTATAGTATAATTATATAGTTGAAAACAAGATATGACGGTCTCAGCGTTTATTATGTATGTAAAGAGCTGCACGGATGGCCATGCTGAAAAACTGATGGCAGTAAAGGTCACTGGGATGGAGCTCATTATTAGAAATAAAGTCTTGTGGAATCACACACTAAAGGAAAAACCTAGAGTTTGCCCACTGATTTCAATGTGCACTCTACATCCCACAATGCACTGTAGTCTAACTACTACTGTAGTGTGACCATTTGTTCTTTTCCAGTGATCTCCACAGAGGAGGAAACAATTCTCTTTGGTTGATGTGGATATGCAGTGTGCACACCTTTTTTTGTTTGGGCGTGGTGGTGCGGCAACACATGCGCAGTGCCGGGGGGCGCGAGCACTGCATGAGTAGACTCTTCTCCCCCTCGAGAGATTCTGGCCATAGATAATAATTATAGACACGTAATCTGTCTATAGTTTTTTGTGGTCTGGCTAGCAAGACTAATGCTGTACACCTGCTGCAATTTATTAGTGCCACTCATCCCTGGGTGCCCCTTTCTTAGACTGAAGGCATTTACTAAACCATCTGGACAGGTATTTGTAGGGTGTCACCCTAGAAATTATGCTGGATGATTAAGTGTGTGGCTCGTTAGTAGGGAAGATAACATGCATGATAGTCACATATCTAAAAGGCACACCTCCATGCTCACATGTATACAGTAATACATATATACTACACAGCCTTTTATAATAGATTACAAATCTTAAGCCGGTTGTGAGTTTGAAATAATATTTCCACACCACTAACAAAAGCACGACGTGTAACAATACTTTCAAAATATAACTTCAGAGTAGTTCATAAAAATCTAAAAAGATTGTATCTGTCTGGATAGTACTTCCGGTAGGTCTTCAACATGTGTACAAACCAGTAAAAGTTCAGTAAGTCAATAACGAGTGACAAGAGAACAAGTAAAACTGGTGTCATATCAGGAGTTTCCATGATGAAAACCACAGCCCTCTTCCAGTACCATGGTATTGTGGCGATGCGTGACAGAAAGAAGACCACAATCATTGATGAGAATGTAGCAAGATAGAGAAGGGTGTCACTCATGCCTAGGTCAAGCAAGAAGAGTCGCAGTATTAGCACCGGTATAGACAGCTGGGAGAGCAGTCTGATAACTGTCAGTTCCATAGTAATGCCACGCCACCATAGAGGTACAACTAGGCAGAGTACTCCAGTAACGTGATGAGCAATGCTGGCTTTGTCCTTCAGCATAGACTGAGGATATGTGGTGGATAGATCAATCAGCAAAAAGCACAGCAATATTTCAGCAGAAATATAGGGAATCCAAGAATCGTGGAGAACTTTCATATCGTTCCAGTGTGCAAGTACTGAGTAAGCAGCTAGTGAACCGACGACTGAAGAGTACACCAGGTTTCCAAGGGCATTGGTTTTGAAGTGTCTTTTCAAATGGCTCCAGGGAGTTCCTTTAGTCACAGTTGCCCATGAGTGGAACAGATGAGACGGAATGACGTGTAGGAAGACGGTGACAAAGACCACCACTGACAGGTGCACTAGCAACATCGCCCGGCGACCCGCCTCCAGTTTTATGGTGGTCGGGGCGTGGCGGTGCGGCAACGCATGCGCAGTGCCGGGGGCGCGAGTGCCGGGGGGCGGCGCGAGCACTGCGAGCTGCACGAGAGTCTCCGCTAGTCAGACTCTCCTCCCTGCTGGAGACTAGAGATTCTGGCCGTAGATAATATAGACACGTAACCTGTCTACATATATTTTTTATGGTCTGGCTATATCGAGACCAATGCTGTACACCTGCTGTAGTGCCACTCATCCCTGGGTGTGATGGATTGGGCAGGCTGCCCCTTTCTTAGACTGACGGCATTTACTAAACCATCTGGACAGCTATTTGTAGGGGCTCACCCTATAAATTATGCTGGATGCTTTTTGCAAATCGTCCGTATGTGTGCAGCTCGTTAGAGGGGGAGATAACATGACTAAGACTCCTCACATTCATAGTCACATAGCTAAAAGACACGCCTTCCTTCTATCACCAACCACAATTGGGCCACCCTGACTCAGATTAATATATGCAGTGCACTACCGACCCCAAACGCAGATGAGCCTTGTTCGTTTATCTAATCCTAATGTGCACATTCCATGCATACACTTCGAACCGTCCCACCCCAAACACACCCCCACCCACACACATCCCCCTGTTTCCAGTCACCACTGACCCTAGCCGGCACAACAAATCTCACAAAGAAGGGTAAAAAACACTGTCAATCATGCTTGTAAACGTCAGGTTATCTGTAACAACACAGTCAATGAAGTTTTTCCACGCCCTACTCTGGAGGAGCTGTAGGAGAAGAACTTGGAGGAGCTGCGTATAGGGACAAACAAGAGAGAAGATTCAGACATGTATTATACTCTCACTCGTACCAGCACAGGTGAGGACACTGGGACAGGGTGACCTGTCACCACAGAAGACAGTCTCCACCAGACAGGTGTATCCTGGGGGGCAGGGGTCCATGGAGCAGTCTGGCTCACAGTAGACAGTGCCACTGGACTCATCAGTCTCACAGCGATGACCTCTCTCACAGACAGAGCAAGGGTCTGGTGTTGGACCTGCTATATAAAAGGAATAGATCACCAATTTTTTTAAAAAACCTCACACCCTTCTTTCAGGACATAACACACTAACGCTAACACTAACAGAAGTGCATACAAACTCCAGAGCTTCTACCAAAACAGCAGAGCTCCCATATTTTGTTTAATTTGTACACCTCACCAAATTTTCTTAAGAATTTTTTGTGTTATACTCCCAAAAGTATGCCGTTTTTCGTAAAATTAGGCGTGCTTTGCAGCTGTCCATACCTTGTTCACACTGGTCGGTGACATCAACACCATCCCTGTACCAGCGTATAGAGCAGACTCCACAGTTGTCCACCTCACAGACGGCGTCCTCACAGGCTGACTGAGCACACAGGTCCTCCTCCTCACACTCCACCTCTAACTGACCACTGGGACACACACTGACTGGCACAGCTGTATGGGCACAGGTTGATGTACACACAACTTAGGACATAAGAACACAATCAAGGCTCTAGTAAGCTAGTGTATTTGTTCTATGGTTAAGTTCCTGGAGTAGAAGGGTGCATCAGAATACATAGCTTAAAGGGAAAGTGGCAGTATAAGGGCTTAATGTTATACTAAAACAAAACTCAGCACTTCATCTTCAGTAAAGCGTATGCCCTATATACTGTCTTAATGTCAAATTCACTATTGCTACTAGCAAAGAATATCAAAGACTAACGTGTTGTACACAGGACGGTGACCTCCTCAAAGCCCAGAAACCACCTGGCACTGCACTCCAGACAGTTGTCAGCCACACACACTGCCCCTGGAACATCACAGGTGGCATTCTGACAGACATCAACCAGACATTCCTCCAGCTCCTCCTCAAGACAACCTGTGGGGAGTCCACTAGCTTAAAACACATCATGACCACACAAAAGTTGTTAAACATGTTGCGTCATAATATATACATGGATAGTCATGCAAAAACACGAGGAGGCCTAGAAATAGGAGGGGTTGGGCAAAAAATGATCCAAAGGATAGACGGGACAATAAATTCGAGTATTCAGTTTATCTTTATAGCATGTGTGAAACCCATGGGACTAGTGCATCAGCATGAGTAAATGATAGCTAGTGACCAAAAAATGGAAACACACTAGCTATTTGGTCAGCTCTGAAGAACACCAGGACTATTTAGGTAGGGCTTACTAGGTCGACAGTCCAGGTTCCCAGGGCAAGGCTCCTCCTCACAGCTGACAGGAAGAGATATAGAGCACTGCTGCAGTGGAGGACATGAGCCAGGAACACACAATGGGGAACAGAATGGAGTTCCACTTGGCTGGTGGACCTGACACTCATATCCAGGACTAGTGCAGTTGAGAGTGTCACAGGGCTCTGAAACGGACACCAGCAGTAGATAAACTGGGTAGATATACACATGGTGCTAGAGTTACGGTACCTCTGCAGACAGGACAGCACTCGTTGAGAGGTACTTCTTCAAATTGTCCTTGCTCACAGACCGGGGTCTGACAACTTACAGCCGAGCAGTCAACTGAGTGGTTATAACAGAGATAGGTGTAGGAGGAGCCACACAGCTTGATAATAATGTGGCAAAAGAGCCCTTCACACCAAAAACCCACTGCATCTCAAAAACACAATATTACGCTTAGCTATTATACAAAGTGCGCTGCACTAATAACATGAACTTGCGGGATTCGGTAGAAATAATTAGAACTGTGTATTAACATTATTACCAAAGGTGATGACAGTATAGTATAGTATAGTGCATATACTCCAGGAGAAATCGGTTTATCAGAATGTACAGGAGAACACTCCAGAAGACATTCATATGGCTGCATAATGTAAGTACTGTTACCTTGGGAACAAGTGCGAACTCCAGGGCATGGTAGGCTGGGGCAGGAGGAGGGAGGGGTGATAGAGCAGTGCTGGCCGGGTGGACAGAACCCTGGCCGGCAGACTGGGACACAGAACGCCTCTCCAGTAGGTCTGAACACCTGGCACTCCGCATCAGGCTCAGGACAACTGAATCTCACACATGGGTCATCTGTAGAGACAACAGATCCCTCTGGAGTGCTTAGTACAACTGAGAGAATTATATTATTAGTGTGTCCTCACCGCAAACATCACAGCAACGACCGTTTGAGGGATCAGCAGGGAGTACAGTAGTACTACTGCACTCAGAGGGATCCACATCACGGCAGTCCACCAGGTTGCAGTCCACTATTAGAGTGATTGGGGAATAAAAAACAGATGGCTCATGACTATAAACAGCCACCTACAGTTCACAATAATTATTCTCACTCCTAACCAACATCCCCCTATACCTACAGACAATATGGTAACCTGTGGGTTTACCAGTGCAGGTGAGGTGTCCAGGGCAAGGGGCTCTGACACAGAAGACGGTCTCCACATGACACAGGTGTCCTAGGGGACAGGGGTTCAGGGAGCAGTTGGGCTGGCAGTAGGCCTCGTCTAGCTCCACCTGGCACTGGTAGCCTCGCTCACACCTCACACTCGCACACGGGTCTGCACCAGGATTCACAAACACTGACCATGCACACACTATGCTGGGTTGCTTAATACAAGGGTCTCAGTAAGGTCAGAGTCATTAACCAGATGTAGGGCTATTACCTGTGGGAGGACAGGTGGGGCAGCACCTTCCCTCCAAGGGGTTTGGTGGAATGGCATTTGGACAGCGAATAGGTAGACACTCGAGGTCCTCGGGGCAGATACCTGAGCCAGGTAGGAAAATTAAACCGTTGAGCAGCTCCACTCTTACTCCATGCATAAAGTAATAGTAACATTGGGCAAACAGAGACCTTTGGATGATGAGAGCAGGCCACACACATACTCTCTCTATATACATGCAGTGCCAATAAATGCTGTAGGGGTTTAAATTTCTGGTCTCTTCCAATGGAAATGAACTAGGCCCACTTTATACACTTTCTCTCCTTCATATTGCATGCATCATTGTACGCACAAAGAACAAGGAGCATGGCCGAGGCTAGATTTAGCTCTGCTGTCCATGTTTGTTCACATGCCAATCCCATACATTCTCACTTCACAGTCGCATGAAAAACATATTGTATATACTTCTTAATGCATGTATCGTTGTGCTCACAGAGGACAGTGAGCATGGTTGAGGCTATAGCGCCCTAACTCGAGTCCATATTTTCCACAGATCACAACACAAACCAAGAATTATATCAACATCAAAAGTAACCACCATTATATTATTCAGTTCATCAAACTCAGCAGCATAGAAAAATATTATATATACAAAAAGTTCAGGACCCCCTCAAGGGAGATCACTCCCTACGTGTGCAAGAGAAGCAGCATCCTCCGAGAGTCGACTCAGGGCTCTCTCCGTCACCACAGATGACATCAGCAGGACAGGTCACCGCCGTACAGTTGGCTGTGGTGGACAGAAAACCATAATATTGGCATATCATGTGCCCTATTACTACACTAACAGTGCATGGCAAGCATGACAGTATAGCTACACATTGTGCCATAGAGTGGTAATCCAAATGTACATACTTTGGCAGACAGGGCAACACTCTCTGGGAGGTACAACAAGTTCCTCCAAATCACCACAGATTGGCCTCAGACATGACACAGCAGAGCAGTTAACTGAAAGAGTATATAGAACACAAGAGGGAGGAGGGGAGGTGATGTGCTTATGCAGGCTAAAGGTGCTACTTACCTCCACACTCAACTCCCTGGCCATCCTGGAAGAACCTGGCATTGCAGCCTCCACAGAAGTCAGACACGCACGTGGAATTGGTGTGTAGAGTTTTGTCACATGAGTTCGGGGTGGTTCGACTGTACCGAACCTTCTCTATCTACATCGTTACAGAGATAGCAAGGTGTGCAGGGTGTTGTGCACTTGCTCGGGGTGGTTCAAGCACATCCAACCTCGTCGAACCTTCCCGAACCACATCATTACAAAGATAGCAAGGTGTGTAGGGTTTTGTCACATGAGTCGGGGTGGTTTGACTGTACCGAACATTCTCTATCTACATCGTTACAGGGGAAACAAGGTATGCAGGGTGCTTATGCACTAGTTCGGGGTGGTTTGACTGTACCGAACCTTCTCTATCTTGCTATCTCTGTAACGATGTAGATAGAGAAGGTTCGGTACAGTCGAACCACCCCGAACTCATGTGACAAAACTCTACACACCTTGCTATCTTTGTAATGAGTGGTTCGAGAAGGTTCGAGGAGGTTCGATGTGCTTGAACCACCCCGAACAAAACACTACATTCTACTTTGAAGTATGCAAAAGCCAAAGGAAGTTCTATTTTTGCTACAACATTCAGATCTTGTGCATTCCTCTGTCGTCTCCACAATGCTACGCTTTCAAAAAGCATTTATACAACAAATTGCCAATTTCATCTTTAAAGACGATTCCCCACTTGCAACACGTCCAACAACCTTCCAGCTTGACACCAATGATTCAGTGGAAATAATTCCCAGCACTGAATACCACCTACCGCTCCTGGTAAAGGATGAAAACGGAGCGACCCTCACAGGAATGGTGTATGAAGCCTCAGTAAACAATACAAACAATGTGAGCATAGACCCTGCCTTTAGTCAGGTGTCACACAATGCCATAAAGATGACAGGGGCTCCTAACCACTCAGCAGAGCTACATTTACAGGCCTCTGAATCGGATGTCGTTCTCTCGTTCACCGTGAGTCTTACCAACTGCCACCAGGATACAGTTCTTTTCAACGTTCTCGGTGTGTTTGTGGAGTTTCAGATTACCTCGTCTCGTCGGTTGCGATCCAGTCTGAAGCTGAAAAAATGGTACTGGATCGGTTTTGCTCCAATACAGGACATGGAAGCTCTGTACGTCATTCTGTCCACCTGGATTCTGTTCCTATCAGAATATGAATGCCACGGAGATCTACAATCCTTTGCCCAAAAACTACACCTTACTAATAGTTACATCTGCGGCCCAGAGCGAACAGGTAGACTTTTGTGGGAAGTGTGCCCCAGAGCATTCGGTCTACTATCATTCTGAGAGGTACACATGTGGAAGGGAGGACTGTGTAACGTGGGTGGCTCTTCTACTACCTCTTGTCTGAAGTTCTCCCTCCCCTTGTATCCCTTTCATGCCATCTTATACTTAAACCATAAGCTTTACAGACGGAATGTCAACTGCTTTGTGCTGTATGACTCAGGTGCTGATTACTTTCAAGTGATGCCAATGTTCCATCACGTCAAAGTGTTTAGTTCAAGTCATTCCGATGTCTGAAGTTCATTTATCGTCCATTCAACTGACACTTTTCACATTGCGAGACTTATCATTTGGCCTTGGAAGGGTGCAAACGTGTTGGATGTGATGATCATGAAGGCTACTAACGACTGTCGGACTAGAGCACTTATGTTTGGTAGTAAGCGACTATTTCCCCTGCAGAGGTAGGTGCTGTCGATATCTGAATCTTGTCCCAAGTTCCAAACTCTAAACTACGCAAAACACACTTCCGCCATAGTCCTTGTTCATGCTCTCGCATTCTTTTGTCGGCTCTGTCTACGCACAGAGTGCCCAACTCACGTTCCACATCCTAACTTTTTCTGTTTGTACACACTAATTTCCATCCACTGTGAAAAGAAGCCCGTGTACCTAGTGGTTACATAGACTATGTGGAGGTGATCATGTCAGTATGCTATATAGCCATACTAGCTCTGTAGTACATGATCATACTCGGTCCACTTTCCTAACTGCTAGCTCTTACCCGCACGCGTTTTTAAACTCCTCGCTTTTGTAAGCTAAGCGAGTCACACGGTTGGCAAACTTTCTCTGGAAGATTGATGCCCATTCACAGTCCTCGATGCATTCCAGAGTTCTTTCACGGACAGATTCAGTTTTTCGCTGGAACCTCTACTTTCGTCTATCGTGTGCCGCTAATTCTTGCAGCAGACGCATATTCTGAGACAGTTTCCCGTTTATATCCGCAGTTCAGCTGACAACACTGAATAGTCTTCTGGCATTCATGCATTTTTCCAATTCCACTCAGCCGTACAGAAGACCAGCGGCACCACATTACGATGCTCTTCTCTTCACACATCTAGCAGTCATTAATGTGCCATCACACTGTTCAACCAACTAACCCAGGAAGGACTATAAATTGCGCTCGCTACATTTCCCAATTCACAGTCATGGAAGGAATTCATCATCCAGCTCTCTGATCCTCTTGCTTTCTGGACATAGTTATTCATGGTGTTATTCGAGGAGATAAAGACAAGCAAGAAAAGTTGAAAGTGACAGTGATCTTCCACCACTTCGCAGCGTGAGATGCAAAATTGATATAACGCATACCAAACAAATATGACTGTTGTGGTTAATTCACTGAGTAATACTAATTGTGTTCCCCACTATGTTGGCTAAAGATATATAATCACAATTTGTTGGTAGTATATATGTGGTCTGTAGTGTGTGTCGTGCAGTGTAACAACTTAGTTCATAGTTACTGGTGGAATGTATTTAGGTTATGAATTTAAAGTCGCTTTCACTTACCTTTTCGTCATTCGCAGCCTCATGGATCTTATTACAGCCTGGTCTCCCTTTTGGGGCTTGCTCCTTATATCTCTCAGATTGATTGTTTTCAATTTTCATTTAACCGCGTTTCAATATAAGTGACCATGTAATTTGGTTTAAACCGTCCTCTGCCCACCACACACAAAAAAGCTTGTCACTTATGGGAGCTCTGACTGGGGTTTAAAACATGTGCTACATAAGTTTCGCTCACAACTGGACCTAATATAGCTACACCCAGGCAATGGAACCATTCTTGTCTTGGTGGGATTTAACCCATGGTCCAGGTGAGCACAGTTAGGAAAGTACATAAGTGTGGTGTGAATTTGGAGTATGTACAAGTGTGGTGGAGTGTGGGTGGGAGTATATAAACAGTGGAAAAATCATTTCTTCAATGAAAGGGGGATATAGGATGGTTGAAGCACCAAAAAAACACAGCGAAGATGACACAAAGCGACATGAAACGTCCATATATCTTGCTCATATTCAACTGTACTTTCTTCAGGTAGTGTTGACAGAGTGGAAATGACGGAAAACGATTCAGCGCGGATTGGACGACCTCTTTCAATTGGGAGGAAAATGTCGCTGGGGCGAGATTGTTGGAAAATAACACAAAGATATAGGGATTGGTGTCATGTAGCTTTGTGCATCTTGTGTGTACTAAACCCTTGTTTCTTCCTTTTTGGTGATTAAAACCATCCTTCTATCACCTTTCATTTGAAGAATGATTTCCACTTGTTTCCCACTATTTTTAACGCATTATGGCATTTTCAGTCACTCTGATGTTTCATGGGTGTTGTAGAGATAAACGTTGAAAGCAGAGGCTAATGGCTGCTCTTACCTGAAGCAGGGTGTATTGCGTAGGGTCTCCCAAACAAGATGCAATTAGGTTGTGGCACAGATTATGTGGGGTGGGTTTCATAGCAGCTTCAGTAATCAGACACAATGATAGCTATAACCTGGGGGACACAAGAATGAAGGCGCTTGTTGCAAGGACCCGCCAGTACACCAGAGCCACACTACCAAGTTGACTCTCGTGTGCAAATCAACAGCAAAACGCAAAGTGTATACTGACTACAGACGGCCCTGGAGGATAAGAATTCCTGTGCAGGCTCCTGCTTAGTCTGGTTCACGCACGAGTAAGTTTGCGCGCGCACCGCATATTGGGGAAACGCCCTCCTCGGCGCATGCGGCTCACTGTTGCGATCGAGGTAGCAGCAAATGCGTTGGTCAGTGACTACGTGGAGGAGCCCAATGATCTACCGAGTGACGTGCGGCAAGAAACATAGCGAGTCGCCTTGATAGCGGCACACCTCCGGAGAATTTGGAGACGTTCTGTGAAAAACAACGCTTCAACTGCTTCCGGTAAGGAGCTAGCGGGTCTCTGAAGAAGAAGAAGAAGATGAAGAATTATTATGAGGATGATGACAGACCAAAATCGCGAATCGCGTCCGTAAGAACGAATTCTCTGGTGGGGAACTGAGGGCACGTAGGAGTCTTGGGGCATATGTATAGCTAGGTATTGCCCTCTAGACTATTGTCGTAGCTTTTGAGCCATGGGATGAGTCATTCTCGTGAGTTTTGAGCGAGTTTGTACGCGGATCACGTGAGATTGCACGCGTTGGTACTCTATAGTAGAGCGTCTACGACGCTGGATATTCTCTGAATGTGTGGACACTTTTCAAAGACAGAAGTATATAGTAGCTGTAAGCGATACGTTAACACCCCACACACACACATCATACTTTTGGCACGTTTCTGGCACTATGCAACTAGCTTCTGTTCAACTGCTGTAACTCCCTTGCTAAAGTTAACTTTCTGTATTCAACAGCACACGCAATCGGTGAGGCAGGGACTCTCCAGTTGTACTTCCAACACTGGCGATTCTGTGCGTAGAGCCCCTTCTCTGCATTCTCTCCACACCCAGTGAACGACGATTTTTACTGTGGCATACGCAAGAGAGCACAATGCTCACAAACACAGAGTGAGAAAGCCAGTGGGTATCACAAACCACAACTTGAAGATTCTGTGCGCGGTATGAATGCGTGTGCAGTGAGAGACAGAGGAGACGCGAGCATAAGAACGAAACCCAATCACTGAGTTTGTAAAGACGGCATACTCCTCCTTGTAGGCTCCACCAGCAGAGCAATTATTGCCAAAAATCAAGCAGATATGTGTACCATAACAGTACATGCACCCATCTTGCATGAAGGTATAGGTGAGATAAATGGAGAGGAACAC